TTGATTTTGTTTTCACTGACAACTGTTGTTGTTAAAATGAGAGAAAAACACTATGAAAGGAGAGGGATAGACATACCTGCTCTAGTCCTCTCATTTGGCAAAAGTCCTTTTCAGGATTCCATTCCCCCATCCAGCTAATGGTGCTGGTGGGCAGCAGTCAGACTTCTCCACAGTCTTGTCAACGTTTCCTACATTTCTTTGGCCTCTCTAGAGTGTATCTGATACCACTGCCCACTTCTTTTTTTAAAAGCACTCTCTTAACCTTTCCTCCCACCTGGTTTTCCTCCTACTTTCCTGCCATTCTTTGTCTTCTTCCTACCTTTGAAATGTTAGGAGTTTCAGGGACTCAGTCCTAGGTCCTCTTCGTTGTGTATTATCTTGCCCCCCGCTAATGAACACAGCTAACCACCAAGACAGGTCCAGACATTTCCAAATCTGTCCACCTGTCCTTCCTGTCTCCTATCCGCGTCCAAGCCATCACAGTATTGCTGGGAGAGCCTTCTCGCTGGCGCTGCCATCCAATCCAGTCCCCACATCGTGGCTACACGGATCTTAAAATACACATGTGAATATCACATTTTACTCTTAGGAGTTACCACGAAGTCCAAAGCCATCATGTGTATGCCAACACACAAGGCCGTGCATAACCTGTATCCTGCCTACCTTCTCACCATCATGAACCACTCTAGTTTTTACCTCGTGGGCGCTTAACGCCCGGAAAATGATTCATGCCCCATCTCCGGATGATCTTCCTTCCAAGGACTATGTCAGTGGCCCTCCCGGAACACCACCTCCTCACTCCCAATTTCTTATCACAACCATAGTTGGTTGTCTACCTCCCCTCTCCCATAGACTAAGTTCCTTGAGAGCAGTGGGCTTGTTTGCCCTGCTCACCACCGGGTCCAGATGTTTAACATAACGTTTGTTCAATGAACGTGGAAAAAAGAGAAAGGAGGGACAGGTGTGGCGGGTAGGGCACTGAAACGGAAGGAGGTGCAAACAAGCTGCAAGAGGAGGGGTCCCAAACGGGACAGACAGTTGGCGACTGTGGGCTTGGCAGCCAGACAGGCGTGGCAGCAGGTGAGGCGGTCACGGCGCCGGGAGCGGAGCGCACGTCCAGCCGCGCCCCCGCAGGGGGCGCCCGCCGCCCGGGGCGTGGCCTCGCAAGCCCCGCCCCCCTCGCCGGAGACCGGGCAGGCGGGCAGCTAGCCGCGGCGGCGTAGACATGGCTGCGCTGGTGGAGCCGCTGGGGCTGGAGCGGGGTAAGCGCGCCAGGAGGCCCTGCCCACCGGCCGTGGCCCGCGTCCGGGACCTCGGTCCCCGTCCCTCCCCGGCCAGGCCCCCAGCGGGTGGGCGGGCAGATCGAGCGGGGGGCGGGTGGGCGGGGCGCCGCGGTTTGTGGGTGTGGGAGGGTCCGTGGGCTTAGCGGGCCCAGGAGGGGCGCCCACAACACAGCCCTTCCTGTGTGCGTATGCGGATCCTGGGGCGCAGGGCGCCTGGCTGGCCGCAGTCCCCTTGCCCCCGGCGACTCTGCGGGTGTCCGACTGGGACTCGGCTGTCTTTCCCGGGATCTGTCAGCGCTCGCCCTTACTCGGTTTCTGCCGCATCTCTCTGTGCTTCTCCGCGTCTCTGACTCTGTGTCTCTGCGCCCCGCCCCCGCCCCGCAGACGTGTCCCGGGCGGTGGAGCTCCTCGAGCGGCTCCAGCGCAGCGGGGAGCTGCCCCCGCAGAAGCTGCAGGCCCTCCAGCGAGTCCTGCAGAGCCGCTTCTGCTCTGCCATCCGGGAGGTGAGAGCAGCGCGGCGCCGGGGCACAAGCGGGCGGCCGCCGTCCTGGTCGTCGCCCAGAGCCCAGGGACTACGCCTCCCAGCAGCGCCGGGGGTGGCCCGCCTTGGGGTGCCCGCGCTTCAGCTGCGGGGTTCTTCGGGAGTTGTAGTTTCCTCGGGCTCCGGGTTGCTGGGGGCGGGCCGATCCTTGGGTGGGAGGGTCTGCGGGCTGGACTCTGGTGTTGAAGGGGGGAGGGGCTGGCTGGTGGTTCCCTGATGCTGCTGTTGTCTTCACCAGGTGTATGAGCAGCTCTATGACACGTTGGACATCACGGGCAGTGCTGAGATCCGGGCCCACGCCACAGCCAAGGTAGGTACCCCCCACGCCATCACTCATGGTATCCACTGAAGTGCCTGGTCTAGCTTAGTAACTTCCTAAAGTCAGTCATGCCTGTTTCTTCCTTCATGATTTTTGCCAAATCTATGTACTAGCGTTACTATTATTTACTGGTGTTATAATCTCATAGGTTGTACTTGAATGTCATATAACGGCATCTTTAGCAACTTCAAATGTGAACTAGTGCCGCATACCTGACAAGAAGATACCTTTTAGGGCGCCTGGGTGGCTCAGTCCGTTAAGCAACTACCTTCGGCTCAGGTCATGATCCTGGAGTCCCAGGATCAAGTTCCGCATCGGGCTCCCTGCTCAGCGGGTAGTCTGCTTCTCCCTCTGACTCTCCCCCCTCTCATGTGCTCTCTCTCAAATAAATAAATAAAATCTAAAAAAAAAAAAAGAAGAAGATACCTTTTAACACCTATACAGTGAAATAGCATGAAACACTGAAATCTTATTAAACTATAGTTGTATGCTGTTTCTTGCTGCTTCCTGGAGGCTCTCAGCTCCTTCCAGGCCTTGTTTTTCTCTATTAAAAATCGAGATTGGCAAGTGTTGACTATTTAAGACACACTCACACCAGGTGGAGACATTTCCTTTGACATGTCTGAAGCATCCAGAGTGAATTAAGAGAGATTCATTACAGTGCAAGCTCGTGCTGAACTGTGGCAGGTGTCCTCTGCGTGGGGAAAGTGATCTGGCCCAAATTGCTCTTCCTGGTCCAGATCCTCCCCCCTCATCTGCCTGCCCACCATGGAGCGGACCTCACCTCCCAATGCCTTCTGTCTCCCAGGCCACGGTGGCTGCCTTCACAGCCAGTGAGGGCCACGCACATCCCAGGGTAGTGGAGCTGCCCAAGACAGATGAGGGCCTGGGCTTCAACATCATGGGGGGCAAGGAGCAGAACTCCCCCATCTACATCTCCCGTGTCATCCCTGGAGGTGTGGCTGACCGCCATGGAGGCCTCAAGCGTGGGGACCAGCTGCTGTCAGTGAATGGTGTGGTGAGTGGAGACTGAAGCTGGGCTCACAGTCTGTTCAAGGTAGCACAGTCCCTGCTTTTGACATTCATTCAACAAGCAATGATAGAGTACTGCGTGCTGGGCACTGCTACAGACCCTGAGAAAAGTTTGCCTCGGCTCCTATATTCAAGGACTCCCTTCTTGCTGAGGGAGAGTGACTGGAATAATCCTAATCTGGGGAGATGATAATGAGGGAGCACAAAGCATTGCGAGAGCCCGAATATGGTCTGCGGTGTAGATGAGGAAAGTTTTTGCAGAGAAAGGGACATTTGAGTTGGGTTTTGAAGGACGAGGAGGAGTCCTCCCGGCAAATAAAGTAGAGAAGACCATTAGCAGCTGAGGGTGTTGTAGGTAGGGGCTGTGACTCTACACTCCTCTGAGCCGAACAGAAAGTGCTTAGGTCTAGTGGAGGACCGGCGCACGTAGTTAATTAAAATCACTGCAGTTAGAAATAGATGGCAGCAGGGCTGGGTCGGCAGTGGAGGCCGGCTATGCAGGGCCTGAGTACCAGCCTGAGAAGCTGGGACTTTGTCTAAAGGGTTCTGGGGAGCCACGGGAAGGCTGTGAAGAGGAGCTGGATAGGCTCAGCTTGGAGGTGTAGAAGGATCCCTTTGGGACTTTATAGGGGATGGACTGAAGGTAGAGATTGGAGGCCAACATTTCTAGGGAGGAGGCTAGGTGAAAGTCCG